CAGCTGCTCAGTCTAGGCACACAGTAGGTACTTAATAAGCGTTCCTTCTCCTTCTCTCACCAGATCTTTAAAGGAATGACTTGAAGTTGTTCCACTTAGAAGGATCTTCTCATTTCTTCAGAGAGGCTCAAAGGTGATTATACGGCTTAGCAAGCAGTTCATTCGCAGATTCCTTTAACTTGCTCCAACCCCATTACCCTCACTTTTGTGATTAATTGTTGAAACCATGTGCCTTCTTGGGGTGACCTTGTGCCCCCTTCACAGCAGTGCTGTTAACTTCTTAAGGAACGATTTTTGAACTTCTGATCTTGCCCTTGAACTACAATCACCCATCCGGTTAACAAGGTAACTCCCTCACATCGAACCCGCCGAGTTTCTCCATCACTGAACAATGTTGTCTGTTTGCACTGAATGTTCATGTTAATCCCCACAAGATGCAAGGGAAGAAAGACGGACAGGGGACAGGTTCATTTCAGGAAGCTGGGAAGAAATCTGGGTTTCAACTCTTGGCGATCTTTGTTTTGGGGGAAATCCTCTCTCTGCCTCAAGATAAACTTCCTGGAGAAACTCTGTGGGAGTTTCTGTGGGAGCATGTCTGCCCATCATTAACAGGGTAAGTGTTCCTGTCTCCAACTCAGCTTCCCAGCACCAGTGATAAGAGGGCCCCGCCCTCCCCCTACACACACACACCCAGTACTTGGCCAAGAAATAATCCCCACCTCCCAGTCTCCCCCATTATCAGACAGCAATAAAAATCCAACAAAAGAGAGACATCAATTTGCCTGACGTTATCATTCTTTGGTTCAAATGTTTACAGCAGGCTCACAGCTGGCCCAGAGGATTCTGTAATGGCCAGTGCATGGTCCCTGCCCTCAAGGGGTTCACTCTCTGGTGGGGAGACAATTACATAAAGAGATGACTACAGAACCATCTCTTGGTCGTTGGTGTCTCAACCACACTGAACAGCATGGGAGCTCCTGTGCGGTTACGTGCCTTTGCTTAAACTGCCCTCTGCCTGGAACGCCCCTCCACTCCCCTCCCCACCCCTAAGCTAGCAGATACCGGCCCGTGTCCCCATTCTCTGACTGCAGGCTTCTCACTTGCAGCAGACCCCAACTGGAAGACGGGAGATGCCTCAACCTTAATCCAGGTTCTGAAATTTTGCCCAGGACTGGACATTTCAATTAAGGAATGGAGGCTGTTTTGTGACTTAAAAGTAACTATAGCTTGGGGCTTTTTTAACCTAAGGTTGACCAGAAAATTTTGAGGCCTGTGCCAGTTTTCATGCAGGGGCAGGGGAAGAATGAAAACTTCCAGAAAAAATAGGAAGGAATAATGGGAGAAAATCTGCATTATGACAACATTCTACAGCCACAGTTGCTCAACCTTGCAGCTACCCACATCTGTCTATCCCTCAGACCGTGAGCTCCTTCGTGCCTAGCACAGGGCTGTGCAGAGTAAGTGCTCAAAAAGATGGGGGTGGGCACAGGCAAGGACAGGGACACTGTGTAGGGTAGGGGAGGCTGTCCCAGGGAGCAACTGTTGGTGGCAGGACTCAAGACTCAAAGTTGCCCCAGGAATGAGTCTTGAGACATGACAGCATCTCTCAAGGAGGCCCCATGTCTTTGAACAGCAGCTGCCTTTCATTGCAGAGATAGACCTGGAAACTTGATAATATAAATGCACCCCAGAAGGGCAGTGTGAGCACAAAGACACATCAGCCGATGTCAGTGTAGACAGCAGATATCAGATGCTGTCCTGCTGGCAGGGTGCTTTTGCCATGGACACCAGGGAGAAGAAGATCCACCCAAAGACAGGGGTCGTGACCCGGTAAACCAAAGATAAGGGAGGAGGGACATGACTGCCTAGCTGTGCACGCTGCCTTAATCTCACCGTCCAGGGGACGCGCATCCCGCTGCAGATGAGCAAAGACACAACGACAGCTGAAGGAACTCGCCCAAAGCCACACCACTACTAAGTGACACAGCTGGGATCTAAACTCAGGCCTGGCTGGCTCTAGACCTCACATTGCCTGACCCTGTGGGTCAATGTCTTCATCTCCTTCTTCGGCTTGCTTGGAAGCTACTCGGTAAACCTTCAACTGTGTGCATTGAAGAACTGGGGCCCTGGGTGACTGAAGACCTACCCATCCACATGGTCCATGCAGGGCTCAGAGGGGTGGAGGTCTGAGGCAGAGCACGGGAAGGCTGCTGTGGAAGGGAGAGGCTCCCCCAGGCTTCACACGGTGCCCGCACTCCTGACTCTGCCTGCCTCTCTGCTGTGTTTGTCCTGCAGTCCCTACCTGGTTTCCTCCATCTGCACTTTCAGGGTGCACGCCCTCAGAGGACCAGGCTCACTACCCTCCCTGGCATCGCAGGGGCTGGCGGAGAGCAGCTAACACAGTTACCCAACCCATCCCCCTTGTCGGTTCCCTCACAGGCCAGCCCCTCTCCAGAGCTGGGAACCTGTTGTCCGCCACCTGGGTGAGTCGGCACAACTGGATCAAGCACCCCAGTGAAGTGAAGGTCGTGGGACCACCCTGAGGAGCCAGTCAGGGCAAGGAACTCCCTCCCAAACCCTGGCCAGCCTTCACTCATGTCTCTCCTGCTGTTAAAGGCCTGGCATACAACCAAGCCCGCCCTGCTGACTCGGGAGGGAGCCCCTGACTTCAGAGGGGTTGAACAACAGGGGGAGGGAGGGAGGTCGGTTCAGCCGTGGGACTGGCCTGGAACCCCTCAGCTTGCCCCAACCCTGGTGGGGCAAATCTGACCTGATCCACTGGTGTCTAGCAGTGGGACCAGCGCCGGGTCATCCCCTCTGAAGAATGATGCCCCCTGGGCAGCTTTCTGTCTCCCTGTCTTGAAGTCCTCAACACCTGGTATGACAGCACATAGTAGAGAAGAACATATGTCAACAAGACACCAGAGCTTTCACAAATTAATGTATTTACTTCATTATTTGCTAATCAGTTGACTGCACATAGCTGTATCTGAGTCACTTTAAGTCATAATTGCGAGGACAATAACACAAGCTAGCTCATCCAGCTGGCTGAGAGTCCTTGGGGGTATTCCAGTGCCAGGGTGGCTTCTCTCTGCATCTTCTGGCTGCTCTGCCCGCTCTGGCCAGTTATCAGTTATGCTGACATTCCCTGCTGCTCTCTCCTTCCTTTTTTCTTCCTCCCTCCCTCCTTTTTTCCCTTCCTTCTCTCTTTCCTTGATTTTTTTTTTTAATGAATTAAGCTCTTTTATTTTTTGCTCAGGAAGATTCACCGTGAGCTAACATCTGTTGCCAATCTTCCTCTTTTAGCTTGAGTTAGATTCACCCTGAGCTAACATCTACGGCAATCTTCCTCTATTTGTATGTGGGTCACTGCCACAGTATGGCCACTGAGAGACGAGTGGTGTAGGTCTGTGCCTAGGAACTGGGCTCGGGCCGCTGAAGCGGAGGGCACAGGACTTAACCACCAGGCCACAGGGCCAGCCCCTCCCTGCTGCTCTCCTTTCCCTCTCAAACCTGTGGTGTTCAGTAGATTCAGACAGACCTGGCTACTAAGCTTTGTGACCTTGAAAAGGGGCTCGACCTCTCTGAGTTTCCATCACCTTGTATGCAAAGCAGGGGTCCCTAATAATTGTAGCTGGCATCAGCCTTGCAGCTGGCTCCCCGTTCCGGGTTCTGGGTGAAGCACTTGTCACGTATCAGAGCTCATTACTCCTCACAGTGGCCCTGTGAGGTAGGTACAATCATCACTCCATCGGGTAGATGGCTGAAGGAGGCTGAAAGAGGTAAGTTACCCAGGAGCAACTTGTGTGGAACTGGGATGCGACCCAGGGCTGTCGCTCTCCAGCGACTGGAGGCTCACCATAACGCACACAAATGCTTCCTCCCGCCTCCCTCCTTTCCTCCTTACAACATGGCAGCAAAGCAGAGAAGGGCCAGTCAAGACAGATGGAAGGGTCACAGAAGCCTGAACACATCGGCATCTACTGCAGCTGCTTCGGGGTTCTTCCCTGTCTCCTGCAGCACGCATTTCCCCACTTCAGGACACTGGAAACTCTGTGAAGGCAAGGACAGGGCTTCACGGAGGGATGGTGTCAGGAAGAGCAGCTGCTTGGCGGACTGCTGAGCACGGTGCCACTGTGAGGGCTCGGGGGCTCAGGGTGAGAAGCAGGGACGGGACAAGCCCAGAACAAACAAGTAAGACCCAACATGGAGTGTGCTGGAGCTGCGTGGAGCACTGCGGGGGCAGAGCAGGGAGGGCAGAGGACAGCCTCCGCAGAGGGGTCTCTGCCAGCACCGCCAGGCATCATGTCCCATGTTAGGCTCCTCAACGTCATCTCATGTACCCCTCACAGAGGAGGAAACTGAGCCCGAAGACAATGATGAGGATTTTTAGGCTGGTTAGTTTTAAAACTACAGATGAGATTCAGGCTCCAAGGAGTGGAATTTGTTTGCCCCTTTGTTGGGAAACATTTACATTTCTAAGGGAAACCTCTATCTGTGAAGATGCCTCCCTCTCTGTGCCAGGAAGAAGGGGGGATGGTCTTATCTCTAGAAGCTCTTAATCAATGCCAGAGGCAAGAACTTAAGTTGGTTACTGTCTGGCAACCTCATGTAACTGAACCCCCCCCCCCCAAATCCTCCTTTGTCTTTAGCCGAGGATAAAATTCAAGCGGTGACTTCTGCCATTTACTCAATCCGGTTTGATTCTTATCTAAAAGTTGTGGGACCGCCAAATGGCCAGACCATACGGGCACTGATACCATTTTAACTTTTTTACATATTCTTTGTCTTGTAAAGAGATGACTCACATACCTATGCCTTAAATTTAGCCCTAACCCTCAACTCGGGGCAGCAGCAGGAGCTCTGACTGCCCGTGGGTCCTGTCCCCATGCCAGCGGGGGCAGCAGAAGCAGCGGCAGCAGAAGCTCTGACTGCCCATGGGTCCTGTCCCCATGCTATTCCACACTATTCTCTAAATAAAAGAGCACTACTGCCAGATCTTGAGAGTCTAAGAAATCTTTCTTTCGACTCCTCGGCTCACCGACCCCGCATCAGACAACACCTCCGAAAAGCCGCGGAGCTGGGATTCAAATCCACATCCGTCTAGTTCGAAAACCCATGCCCTGTGCTCTGTACAGGCTGCCATCGGAGGGGACACCCGCTCCGGGTCTCAAAGAATGACGTCCAGAATAAAGGAATCATTTTCAGAGCAAAGTGAAAAACACATTCTCCCCAAATTTCACATCATAAGCAGCTGGAAAGCAAACATAAAGGATGCTGGGGCCGTCTGCACAAACGTCAGCTTCTCCAACCCGATTTCCTGCTCTCAGCCAACAAGGCCGACGGATCTTCCCAAAGCGCCGCTGCTGGCGAACTCCAGGAGAGGAGAGCTCTCCCAACCTCAGTGTCCTCAGGACAGCGTCACGCCTCAGGCCCTGGAGTCTCAGTTTTGTTTTTTATACTGCAAGACAGAGAGATCATTAGAAGCAGGCGAGGGAAGCCAGCAGGGGAGGGAAGACTGGGGAAACCCTGAGAACTCGGGCATCCAGGCCTCGGCTGCCTCCCAAGGGGCTTCAGAGGGGGTGGGACCCAGGCAGCAGGCACCGGATGGTCTAATCTCTGGTTGGCGCCTGGACCCTCTTTCTTCTTTATAAGAAAAGGAAGCTGATGGGGTTGGGGAGGGAGGATAAGAAAGACACTGAGGACATTAGAACTGAACACGGTGGCGGGCCCATCCTTCTCTTTAAGCTGAATCTTGTTCAGAGAAAAAAAAATCTAGGTTAGAAGAGGACCCTCAGAAGCCACCTAGTCCAACCACTGAGTTTAAACAAATGAATCCTGGACCCCACACCTGGAGATCCTGATTTAGAAGGACAGGGAGGTGGGGCATGTTCTGATACCAAAGTGTGAGGACCAGCAAGCCAGTCTATATTCTTGACGTCCTCCCTTCCTCCACCAAAACAGATACTTGAATGTTTCCTCAATAATCCTGCCTCACTACAAATACCCTCAGAGATGGGGAGCTCACTACCCCCCAAGACAGTATTTCCTCTCTGAGTCATCACAAGGCTGCCGCCCGTCTTGGCACTACTGCTTCCAGGAAGATTGTTCTCTTCCGCCCCATCTCAGCTTATTCATCCTGTCAGGCAGAAACTTCCCCTTAGGGATTGAGGGTGCCTCCCTCTTTGCAGAAAACAAGTGCAACCAGAAGGGCATCGGCCATCAGCTTTCCACCCTGGAGGAGGGGAGCAGCTGGCTGGAGGGGTGTCGCAGCACTGATGGTTCTCAACTGTGGGGCAGGGGCGACCCCTGGTGGTCACATAGATCACAGCCATCCACACCCCAACTCGCAGGTGGAGGTGGGAGCCAAGCACTTACTTTGTTCATGATCCAGTCGGCATCTTCTATGGCTCTTTTAATAATCTGCTGGATTCTTTCAGGGTTGTCCTCATCCGAATGAACCCGGAAACCCTGGAGGTTTAAGCATAAAAAGAGACAACTAGGCAAAATTCACAGGACCGGCGGCTTCAGAGCACCAGTCACGGCCAGGCACATGGCAGGGCACTTTATACTCAGCACGGCTCTTACCCCTCCAGAGACTGTTAGGATGACTCCACCCAGAGATGAGGAAACAGAGCCTCAGAAATCCCAACCTGCCGCTAAGCAACGGCACCAGCATCTGAATCCTGGTCTATCTGACTACACAGGGCAACTGGGAAAAGGAAGACTGGCCCCCCAGTCACCCCCAAATCAAGCTGGACCCAAAGGTTATCAGGCAGCGGGGGTCTAAGGGAAACTTCCATCTCTCTGCATGGCTTCACAACAGGGAAGAACAGGGCTTCTCCTGACCCAGCTGGAAAGCCGAGCAGAGAGGCAGGGGCGCTGGGGAGGTGGCTGGAAAATCCAGCCAGGCCCAACGCACAGCAATGCAGGGCTGCTGTTTGCTTTTGACCAGATGTTCACCCTTGAGAAGCAACGTGAGATTCAGCTTCACTGGTGTGGCACTTGGGGCCCTGCAAAGAACTGGTCCCTCTTCTGCCCTGTCACTCTTGACCCACACGTCTTCCTGCCTGTCTTTAGGAGTCCCTCAAACCCCCCGCTCCAGGAAGCCCCCCGACTCCCTCCAACAGCTCACCACTCATTTTCCCTGTGCCCACAGCCCTCTGTTACTGTCTCTATTTTTTTTACTTTCCACATTACCTCTGTATTCGAGTTTTTAACTTTTTATTTGGAAATAATTTCTAACCTACAGAAAAACTGCAAGAATAATAAAAAAGAATTCCCTCCCAGAATTGCCGATTGTTATCATCTTGCCACATCTGCTTTATCTTTCTTTATAAGTGTTTGCATAAGAATTTCTGGAAGCATTTAGAAGTTGTAGACATGATGCCCTGCACCCCTGAACACTTCAGTGTGTACTAACAATGAGGGCATTCTCTTACGTAATCACACTAATCAAATTCAGAACATTTAACACTGATGGAACACTAGCATCTAACCTATAGCCTACACTCCTATTACCTGAATTTCTCCAATAACGTCCTTGATAATAATTGCTTTTTCTGGTCCAGGATACACCTGGGATCACTCATTACATTTAGCTGTCGTATCTCTGTAATCCCTTTTAAACCAGAGCAGTCTTCTGCCTCCCTCTGTTTCATGACATTGGCACGTGTGATGAGTCCAGGCCAGCACGCGCTGGATGGCCCCTCAGCTCAGGTTTACCCGATGCTTTCCTGCAACTAAATTCAGGTTGTGCATTACTGGCAGGAATGCCTGTCAAAATGATGTTGTGTCCCACACTTTACTTTCATTAGCCATTTAGCTCCCTTATTCAAGCCCTGGCACAAGACTGGCATGCTGGGTGAGGCATCTCTGTTTCCTGAACAGAAACCAGAGAGAGGAGCTGGGCTGTCCAGCTCTGGTTTCTGGTGGCTTACGAAACTGCTGCCCACCTGAAAGACCATCCCTGCCTCCTGCCCCCGGCCCCTGACCCTGTGATAGGCGCCCTGTTACGGGAAGCCCCCCCTACCCCCAGCCCAGGGTACCCTGCTCCCACCTGCCTGACAGCGTGTTTGTAATGTTCCTGGATGCCCTTGGTTGGCAGCTGCCGGCAACAGCGCAGCAAGTATCGGTACAGCTGCAGTGGCCTCTGGACCAACTCTGCCCCTGGGAGAGGAGCCATCGGCAGGCGTGTCCCTAGAAAACACAGAGCATCACTTCTAAGGCATCAAGTCCATCCTTGGCCTGGCCCCCGGGTTCCAGCGCTCTGTGAAGAGGCTTGATACAGCACGGACACCAGGTCCCCTTCATGCCACACCCCAAGACCCAGATCCTGAGCTCAGGCTGGCCATTCAGTCCTGCAGATGTCTCGGCCCAGAGCAGGCATGCAGGGACCAAAAGCAAGATGTGCAGCCTCATTCTGGCATCTTCTTTCAGGAGACCAACTTCAGGTGGCAGGTAAGGAGGTGTCACTGACAGGCAGAGTGGGGGGGACAAGCAGGAAGACCCTGCATTGCAATCACCAAGAAACCAGCTGACTGAGGCAACAGAGGGGAGAACGCCCAAAGGTCTGAGCCTCACTCCTCAGAGTGTGGTCCCAGACCAGTAGCATCGACATCCCGCAAGAGCGTGTTAGAAACGCAGAGTCTCACCCCAAACCTACTAGACAGAACTTGCATTTTAGCAAGATGCCCCATAAGCTCCTGCCTGGACCTCTACCACTGCATTTTGCTTGGGGTCCCTGCCTCCAGCCTGTCGCTCCCCAGTCTCCTCCACATTGATGCCAGAAAGTGAGCTTTGGAACCAGTGTCCTAGGCTCATCCCACAGTCAGCCACAAGGAACTTCTCCCAGATCCCCCAAACCAGCAAGTAGGCCACCTCTCAGTGTCTTTGCACATGCAGCCCCCTGAGCATTGAGCTCCCTTCCCTGTCTCCTGCATGTGAGGAACTTGCGTTCATCCTTCCAGGTCCTGCTCAGTATCACTTCCTCTGGGAAGCCCTTCCTGACTGTCCCTCCCCGGGGTCTGCAGTGCCCTGTTGGTGGAGCGGTTAGCGCACTTCCCACACTGCTGGGGATTCATCTGCTGCCAGGAGCCTGGCCCGGCCCCAGCGCTGCCTGCCCTGTTGTGGAACTGACTGAATGGAACCTCTTATCTCCTGTGTACAGATTTCCCCTCTCTGAGAAAGAAGCTCACTATGTTCCAAATGAAGGAGCTAAAAGACCGAGATTAAGTGACTGGCCTTAGTTTCAAAGTAACATAAAAAGAACAACAACCCCATCCCCCTCAAAAAAGAGAACCAGAATACTAAATCTAAGAGGTCCGTAAACTAAGAAAGAAAACTTTAGTTGCTGGTTTCAGAGGCTCCGTCACTCCATTTCCAGCATATTATCTTCCTGGCAGCAACAAATGTCTGTCTTCACAGCTATTTGCCAATTCCTCTGGATACTCTGGGCTCTCGCTCTGACACTGGGGCGGGGGGTGGGGGGGGGGGGTGGAGAGGCAGTTGTCTGCCACCTCCATCCTTCCTCCTTTTTGGTAACAGCCCCAGATGTGTGACTGGAGATGTGTGATTGGAGATTGCGCTGGCCAGGTCTCGGCCCCCAAGGCCTGGGTGGGGCTCCACTCCAGGCCTGACCAATCAGAGCCCTGCATCCACGTGGTTGCAGAGATTGGTTCAGATGGGCACAGGATGGTCCAATCAGAGCGAATCTCAGAACCTCTGCAGGCATGGCTGGAAAGGCCTCAGCTCTTTCCCTGTAGGCTTGATGCTGAGAGGACTCGATCCTCTCTCAGGGCAGCCATCCTGCCTCCTCTTGAAGTCTGAGACTGAAGCCAGGCAGCAGAAGGCAGAGCTAAGACCACGAGTGAAATCAAGTCTGAAGAATTCATTAGAGCCCTAAAACCACCCGCCTCAAGGCAGTCTCACCCCTAGACTTTCAGTGACCCGAGCCAATTAATCCCCCTTGCCAAAGCAGCTTGGGTTTGTTGTTTTGTTACTTGCAACCGAAAGTCCTAGCAGATGGACAGGTCTTGACCTCCCAAATTCTACTTCCACGATGAGCTCTCACAGTTCCAGCTCTTAGGGAAAGCGCAAACAGGGCAGGGCCCCCAGGAGCATCAACCTGCCAGTCTGACCAGCCACTCTTCAGCCCAATAAACAGAGGGGAAGCCCACACAATGGGGGCAAAGACATTCAAGGACCACCACAGAGGACGTACCACTGAAGTCCCCAACCCGATGGGCAGACTCCACTGGCTTCCCCAAACTATATAAAGTGCTAATCAAATATTGTAAAATGCTAGTCGTGTAACAGATGGTTACCATCTGCAGACTTCAAAATTAACATTTGGAAAGAGTACAACTTTGTTTCATTACTTAAAAACCCAAGCAATACTTAGAAACCAACCCAGCAAGTATGGGCAGGAGATTATTTTCAGCTCAATTATAATACTTAGTCATTCTCAGTAATAACGAGCAGAGAAGGCATGTGTGGGTCCACCTAGAAGAGTTAAACTAAAAATGTTTTAATTTAATTTAAAGTGTGGGCTTGCTATTACTTAAGGGGCAATGAACCTCACAGCATCATTGCTAAAACTGTAGTCAAACCCTGTGGCCCTGGGAACGCTCACGTCGCACATGCCGCTGTTTGGACCTGAGCCTGGCCTCTCCACCTGGGCCCCTGCCTCTGTGAATGCACCTCCATCTTCAAGGCAACCAAACCAAAACCACCCCCGAGCCATTCCAGACTCCTCCTTCTCCCTCAGTCCTCACGCCGCTGCTCTCTGAGTCCTATCAAATTTTTACCTTGGAATGCCCCCTCAAATCTGTCCCCTCCTCTCTCCTCTCGCTTTCCACCATACATCCTTGCCTCAGACATTTACCATAGCTCACGTGGAAAACTGCAAGAGTCCCCAGCAGGTCTCCCTGCCTTCCAGTCTATTCTCCACTCAACAGCCAGAGTGAACCTTTCCAAAACATAAATCTCAGCAAGTCATGTCCCTGCCTAAAACCCCTAACAGCCACTCCTACCCCCATCACTCATGACAACTTTTCCCAAAATGCGGGACAAATATGAAATTATTTTAAACAGCATATGGACAAAGACCTTTTTATTGAAATGATTTCATATTTATTTGCACGTGTAATAAGAAAAAAAATCAATTATTTCATAGGTATTATGGCTTAAAACAGTCTAAAAAAATGAGTGGGCATAAAACTGATATTCTAAAATGTATCAACCAAACAAGAATGCAATTGAAACATGGGAATGACAAAAATCATGAAACTGGTACTAAAGTTTGGAAAGCACTGGTCTGCAAAATAAAATCCATACTCCTTTCCATGTTCTCCAAGGCCCCCTCTTGATCTGACCCATGCCCACCCCTCATCACAGCTCCCACCACTCACCACCAGGTCCAGCCAAACTGAGCTCTGACTGGCACACTCCACGACAGCCTGTGTCACATTTGCCTGTTATGGTCTCAGCACCGTGACAGAATGCCTGGCATATGGTAGATGCAATAGGGCTCTCCAGAGAGACAGAACCAATAGGAGATATATATACATACATATATATACACACACACACACACACAGAGTCGTGTGTCACTTAACGACAAGGATACATTCTGAGAAATACATCTTTAGGCGATTTTGTTGTTGTGCAAACCTCATAGAGTATACTTACACAAACCTAGATGGTATAGCCTACTACATACCTAGGCGGTATGGTATTAATCTTAAGGGACCACTGTCATACACAAGGCCAGTCGTTGACTGAAACGTCGTTATGCAGTGCATAACTATATATAAAGAGATTTATAAGGAATTGGCTCACGCGATTATTGAGGCTGGCAAGTTCAAATTCTGCAGAGCCAATGTCCCAGGTCGGAAGCTGCTGGAGAACCAGGAAGAGCCAATGTCCCAGTTTGAAGGCCATCAGGCAGAATTCTCTTACTCAGGGAGGGTCAGTCTATTGTTCTATTCAGGCCTTCAAGTACTTGGATGAGGCCCGCCCACATTAGGGAGGGCAAGCTGGTTTAGAAGTCTCCTGACTTAAATGTTAATCTCATCCAAAAACACCCTCATAGACACACTCAGAATAATGTTTGGCCAAATATCTGGGCACCTGGTGGTCTAGTCAAGTCGACACATAAACAGCCATCACAGTACATGCTCAATATCCATGTGTTGAATGAATCCTCCGACTCCTGCCTACAATACTCCCTCTGCTTCCTCAGGTCTCCAGATCCCTCAACACCCAGCTCTGAGGTCTGGAACCTCCTCCTGGAAGCCCTCACAGACCCACTACCCCTGCCACCATGGTTGGTGGGAGGTCTTTGGACACCTCAGACATCCCTCATCACCCCGCACTGCTCTAGTTCAGGCTTCCTCACCTCTCACCTGGATTGCTGGAAGTGTGTTTACCTGCCCTTCAGCCCCTTCCAGCCTCCTCCTCAGGGCAGTCACCATGCTTTATCTAACTTCCACTCACAATCTTCCCATAGTGGGACACAACATGATAGCATGAATTATTATTACTTTAATTGTCTAAGATATAATAACAACGTTGTAGTTACATGGGAGAATGTCCTTATCCTTAGATGCAAGTGGAAGTATTTCAAGGTGATGTGTCATCATGTCTGCAGCTTACTTTCAAATGTTCAGCGAAAGACAACACAGAGAAAAGACAGAGGGAGAAACACAAAGCAAATGTGGCAAAATGTTCGGATGGTGTTGGAACGGCAGGTGTGAGGGTGGACGTTGTGCTATTATTTTAACTTCCAGATATTGTGAAAATTTTCATAACAAAAAGTTATTTTAGAAAAATCCTTCCACAGCTTTCCCATCACCTAGTGGATAAAGTCTTAAACTCTAGGCTGACACCAATTCCTAAAGGCTCCTTCCCCGCCCAGATTTAGCCCTCATCACTCCTCCAGGCACAATGACCCTCCACCTACAGTTCCTTCAATAATAAGGGCAGTCACCATCATCACCATGATTACCACAGATGCCTTCCTGAATACCTACCGTGTGACACGTACTATTCTAAACAATGCACAGAATTAACTAATTTTCATCCTCACAGTAACTCTCTATGAGGGTACCATTATGCTCTCCTTTTACAGATAAAGAAACAGAGGCAAAAAGAAGGTGGGAAATTTGTCCAAGGTCACAGAGCTGTGAGTGCAGAAG